ATAGACAGTTTCTCGTGCCTTCATTTAATAAATGGGTTAAAATGATATATAATATATAGGTTTTAAGGACGTCAAATTAGTAGCCTGTCTTAAATGGAGCCAAGGTTATGACAAAACACCAAGTATATAAGAGAGCAGAACCCATGAAGGCCACAAGATGTCGCTTTCTGACAACTTCTTGCTGGCAGGAAGAGGGTGGGGAGAGATGTCTCGGTACCTGGATGTAATAACCAGAGGTGCATGTCAACACGCAGCTGACACATACAGATCAATAGGTCAAAACTTAACATGTAAACCACTTTTCCCTTCATTTTACTTTTCTCCTCGAACAACAAGCAACCTGGAGCTTGCTGATGTTAGTGTAGATGTGAGAGACCATGTGAGTTCCCCATCATTCCCTTTCGGCCTTCACAGACATGCAATGAGATGTCCTGAGTAGGTATTACGATCGCTGTTTTATAGATGAAGAAACAAAAACCCAGAAAGGTTATAATCAGCAAATAAAAATTTCAATGGCCAGGACCAGCCGGGGGCATGGTGGTTGGGGTGCTGAATTCCTACACAGCTGACTTGAGTTTGAGTCCTGGACCTGGCAACTTGCTTTCTCACTTTCCCCCTTTCTCTTTCTCTGTCTCTCTGACTCTCTCTAGTGACCACATGCCCTATAGCAAATTAGAATAATAATAAATAAAAATTAGGCAAATAATTTTAAAAAAAAATTCCAATGGCCAGGTTTCTTGCCATCCCAACTCCGTCTTGTATACCCTGCCCCTCCCCCATCCCTCATAGTAGCGGTGGATGGGGACAGGAATTGACTGTTTTACTTTTTGGAAATTAACTTAAAATACTTTATACTAAATTCTTACATGAATTTGTGTTTATTTATGTTTCCAAAACAAGACTTCAGAGAAATTTGATCTATGCTATAAGACAGCAATCCCCAACCTTTTTGGCACCAGGGACCATGGAAGACAATTTTTCCACAGCTTGGGGGTTGGGAATCCCTGCTATAAGACCCTTTGGGTTGTGTTGTCCAGGATGGGTTTCCAAGGAAGCTCACCCTGTTGTTAGGAGTGTGTACGACTAAAGAGGTTGAAGGCGTTTTGTTTTGCTTTTTATACACTTATTGGCCCTTTATGTCCTTCTTTCATGAATGGGTTATTGTTGTGCCTATTTTTTCCATCGCTTTTTCTTACTGATTTGTATGTGCTGTTTATAAATACTCTGTATTCTACTTGCCATAAATGTATTTCAAATACTTTTCTCACTTTGTACTGACATTTATCTTTTGTTTTTTTGGAGTTTTTTTAGGTTTTGGCCATAGAGTATGTGCATGCTTGCAGGAGAGATATGGAGAGACAGAAAATGAGAACTCACCACCTCCTCCAGGGGCATGACCATGCTGCAATCCCTTCTCCAATCCCCTTTTGGAATTTGGGGTATGCACATCCACACATCCACATGTTTTTCAAGCTGCCATGGCTGGGATTCGAACCACATTGTCGGCCAAGTGGGATCCAGCTCCCTTAACCACTAGATCACAGAGCTGGCCCGATGGCTTCACTCTTAAAATCTTTCAAAAATTGTGACTAAATATACAACTTGCTAATATTTTATTTAGGAGTTTAGCATTGGATATAATAGTATAGGAACTACCTGTTGCTAGAAGGTAAAATATTTGGACCCAGGACCTTTTCTGAAGTAGCTTTTTTCATAATTTCTTTTTAAAAGTTTATTTCTTGAGAGAAACAGAGAAGCAGAAAGTATCCCGACAGAGTCTTGTCCTGCTGTGATCCTCCCCACAGCCTCCCAGCCAGCCAGGACCACAGATTCACCTGGAGAACTGAACCCAGGGCCTTCCCCTACTGGCTCCAGTATTGCAGACCTTACTGCTCTGAGCCTTAACATGTCTTTATGTTATGGTTACTATATATACAGCTTATGTATAGAGCAAGCGAGAGAGATCTCACACATGTATATGTGTGTGTATTTTTTATCACCAATATTGTCTTTGAAGTAATACCTGCCTATGTCTCTGTGTGTAATAAAAGCTGTATTTTAGATTTTACCGGAAAGCACGAGCTGTCGCCCAAGAAAGCAGCAGAGGTAAAGGAGATAGCATTCACTCATGGAGAATGGTCACACTGAAATCCCTTCTCTATCTTTCCCTCCTTTCTGAATTTTGGTCATGCACACACCCACATGCCCAGTGTGTTTTTCAAGTCTCTGGATCCAGGTCTCAAAGCACACAGGTGGCTGTGTAGGATCCATCTCACATAACCACTAGGTTACAGGCTGGCCCAAGTAGTTTATATTTTCTGAGCAAAGCAATCAATATTTTTTCAACTTACCAGCAAACAGCTGTAATGGTATTCTCTAATGGGCTCCATCATGGCCTTATCCTCATCCTAATGCATCTGCCTGTGCTTTCTGCATTTTTATTTCCTGTCTACCTTTGTCCAAGATCAATTTCACAGGTCTTTCCAAAGTATCTACTCTTGAATTCATTTGTAAATTGTATAGATTTTACTCATCTTTTTCCTTCTCAACTTTTGTCTTTATTGATGTCTTCCTCTTGTTTTTAAATTCTCTTCCCACTTGTTGCTAACATTTTTCATTGAGCTCTTCTTTGCATTTTCTTACTAAACACAAGTGTGTAAAGATACTTCCTCTGCAAACAACACTGGCCACATCCCATAATAACTAACATTTACTGAGTGGTATATGGCAGGTAGTATGATTTGAGTACCTAAGTCTCACTTCAAGCCTATGATGTGGCAGGCATTATTACCACCCTTTAATAGGTGAGAAAACTGAAGGTCAGAGAAATTATGAAGCTTAGCCAAGGTCTTAGAGTTAATCACCCTGTGCTAGAAATCTAATACTGGAGCCCACGTGACTCTATTATGCACTTCATGCTGAACTTTGGTATACAGTTTTAATGTCTTCCATTGTCCCCCATCCAATAGTTTGAATGGCAGCTTCTATTTTCCCCTTTACCCACTAGCTCTTCAGGAAACTTTTGATTTCCAAGAGATTAGGATTTTTGGTTAACTTTTTGGTATTACTTTTTTTGGGGGGGTATTACTTTTTAAATGTCACGCATTATCACCAACGGATTATCACCAACAGACTTGTTTGCACAAGCTCTCCTTTTTGGCAATTAAAATCTTTTTGGAGAAACGCGTCTTCGACAGAGTAAGAGACAGTTAGAGAGAAGTAGTAAAATGAAGCAGGAAGTTGAGCAACGAAGACCTTAGGACCTTCTACTTATTTACAAAACGTACAACACTCCACCACGCCCAGGAACGGTGCTGGGTTCCCGCAGCCGCGGCCGAGCCTGAGCTACTAAGGCAAGGAGACCGGAGGTGAATGAGCGCTGGGACAGAGGTGAGGCCCGCCAGTAGGAAGTCGCGGGCGTCACTGAGCAGAGAAGCCAAGCAGGCAAACACTCTCAGCCATGATCCCGGGGCGGCGCCGGAAGTGGGGCCTCCACCCCCTGCCTGCTTAGCCAATGGCCGCGCGATGCGCCGGCCGACGGTGGTCACGTGGCACCTGTAGGGGCAAGGTGAGAGGTCCACGAGGTGCAAGGAGGCACCATCTTTGTTTGTTGCCACAGAACACCAGAACAGTTTAGTCAGAGGCAGGCGTCTCTCTGTATCTCTCCCCACGATTAACCTGGGTCAGCGCCGCTACTTGAACCTGAACTGGCCTCACCACCAAGGTTGCCCTCAGTAAAGATGGCTGACTGGCGCGGAAGAAAAAAGCCGGAAATAGGCGGGCATGGGAGGAGCCGGCAGTGGGCGGGAGGGGCGTGGTTTGTGGACTGAAGGGCGTGGTCTGTGGGCGGGAGGGCGTGGTCTGTGGGCGGGAGGGCGTGGCCAGCCGCCTCAAAT